CACCCAGCGATTGCCGTGGCCGCGTGAGGCAAGCGAGAGCTCCCCGCCTCCACGTCTGTCGATCACGGAATGGTGACCCATAGTCAGTGGATGTCGGAGCGAGCCTCTCTTGTCCAGCAACAACCATCTCATACAGCAAGATCGCATCACTCGCAAGCGTGTACGCTGTTGATTCCGTTTTCAAGCGCCGCCCAGTCCAAACTTGAAGCTAAGCGCTTGTCGCCAAGATGTCGTCTAACAACAACGAGCAGGAGCAGCAATTCTCCATTCAGTGAGCATCTGTAGGCAGAGTGTATGCTTGGAGGGAAGGCAAGATCGTGCGAAGTTGCTGTCCTCACTCTCTGATGCATCTCACGGCTTTCGAGGTTGAGAGAGATTCGAGTCGCAATGCTCACACGTCGTCCATCCTTTCCTCTCCTCTCACCGAAACCCTCCTCTCGCAGACCTCATCCCGCCACTAGTGAGTCGCATCCCCCATTCACGGTGGCGCATACCCCCTCACGCAATCTCCTAATCCCCTTCTCTCTCTCACTCTCTCTCCTTGACCCTTGCTAGCCAACGACCCATCTACGGACCCGGCGCTCAATGGTGGTGCTTCGCTCAAGGGAGAGCCAGGTCCTAGAATTCTCAGCAGCGAAGAGTCGAGCAAGATTGGAGAGCCTCTTAGTAAGTTTTGTTCTTTCGACTCTCATGTGTGCCAGACGTACGCTCGGAAAGACGAGCGAGGCTTTGGGTTGGGTTGGCGAGTCGTGCTCGAAGGCGGAAGACCGACCGCAATGTCCGCTGGGAGCTTCTTTGTTGCAAGATCACGCAGCTGACACTCACCCCTCGTCTTCACTCACGCTCTCTTAGGCCGCGAGGAGCTAGCCAAGCGCTCAGCCGAGCTCAACAAGGAGTAGATCAGCGCCCCCATTTTTGGTTCCATTTCATCCGCTGGGTAGTACTGGTAGTAGTGGCGCTCGTGTAGCTTCTGAAGAAACACTCGTAATGATGAGGTGACGATCCATCCTAGCGCGCTTGTGAGGCTGTCGGTGGTCTGAAATGGTGGTCACGAGCACTCGATCTCGCTTGCCTTGCCCCACACTTGACTAAGTGGTTCAAAGATGCATCAAACACGCAGCTCAAATACCTCAAGGGAGGCCGGGATCATTGTGCTGTGTCCTGATCGGGCTGCCGCAGTGAGGATCGGAATCTGTCATCCCATGCAGATACTCTTTGATAGGCCGCCACTAGTCGCTTCGAGATCGCGAGCGCAGGACGTCACCCTCCTCACGAGCATCCTCGAAACAACACTCAAAGCCAGCCTCAAGATTGGTGTGGATTCAATACATTTTCAACCGACCCTAATGATGTGTCATGGTTGTTGGTGTGACCGGGTGTGCGTACGACAACGAAAGGGTTGACATCATGGGGAGCATGGAAGTGGTGCGTGTGATGAGCGGATCGATCGAGACACTGCCCGTGCGCACGCAATGCCGGCTGTGAGCATTACTGCGTATAAAGATGCAGAGTAGTCTCTGCTGCCGTCAAAGAAGAGCGACGGTGATGAGAGCACGACGCTTAACCAGCAACGAGAGTGCTGGCAGTCGAGGCCTCGTACTTGAACTGCAAAATCAAAGGGTGAAGATTGGTGCGAGCGTAAGTATCAAGCGGACAAGTGCGGCGCATGTGAAGTAGTACTCACAGTAGGGGCCAGCTTGCCAACAGTTCGGTAGTAGCGCGCGAGACGGTGGATACGGGACTGAGGTGCAAAGCATGCGCAGGGCGATCAGCTATGGCATGAAGAATGACAAAGCTCTGGGCAGCACTGCTTGACTCACCTCGATCAAAATGAGACGAAACTTGGAGTCCATGTCCTTGCGGTTGGTCTCGAGGTGGTTCCTGATAGATACCGCCTTTTTCTGTGGTGAAAGAAGCCAAACGGAGGCAGTTAGCCAATGCCTGTTCTATGCTGTTGGTGAAGCCAATCCGTGTGGATTGGTGGTGCTGAAGTCAAGATGCTGTTCAAGCGGAACCTCTACTGCACACTTGCCAGTGGCGTCGGATGGTGCTGTAATCGCCAGCATACAGCGCTCAGCACCTCCTTAGCACAGGGATAATCGCTACCCATCCTCATCTCTACAACATCTTCACAGAAGAGCGTTTCTGCTTCCTATACGTTCCTGGTCATACACGACGGCATAGCTGTTCGAATGAAGCACTCACAATGAGGAAGTAGAGATCCTCGGGAATGGAGGGGGCGAGGCCCTCAGACTTGAGGATACGCAGGATCTTGTTTCCGGTGACGAAGCGGACCTGAGCGATACCCTGCGAGTCACGCAACTGCACACCAATCTGAGAGGGAGTGAAGCCTCGACGAGCGAGCTTGATGATCTGCTGAATGACCTCTTCCGGGGCGGTCTTGAGCCAGGAAGGAGGTGCACGCTTGTAAGGAAGCGCGCTGGAGGAGATTCCCTTCCTCTTGTTGGCGTGAATTCTTGCCCTGAAAATGTGGTACGATGCGGCAGAAACCGTCAGCGTCCGATATGACTAGTATGCCCAATGAGATAGCCGCCCTTTGCTCCCTCCCGATCCCCGACGCTCTCCGCATTGCCCACTGCCATCGTATCCAGCCTCGACGTGCAGTCAGCCCTCCATGTCGTCCTCGTCTGACCCATCCAGCCATTGGTTTCTATACTGGCAGCGTAAAGCATTCCTATGTTTCGGGAAGGAGCGGAAGCTTTAGCATCGATACTTACATTTTGAATGAGTTCTTGAAGTGATCGACGCCGAGGAATGTGTCGGAGGATGATGGTCGGTGGTGCCAAGGTAGCGAGCGCAGAGGCGAGCCATCGATTTTGCAAACGGCGTGCAAGGCGCGCGAAAGTCAAGTTCGCGCGCGCCGACGCACCTTTGCACACCATGGAAAATTCTAGAATTTCAGACCGCAAAGGAAGCTTCTCCTCAAAGGTCTCTCTCCATGCGCAGCCCACACTCGGACCCTTTGGATGGCACCAGCCTCCATGAGTATGGTTCAGAGTATGTATTGAGCTCATTTGGAGCCAGTCATATTGCATAGGGGAACGGTCTAGGTTTGTAGAGGCGGCCGCTCTCGAAGCGGAATGATGGTGATGTGACACGTGACGCCGCCGTCGCGCGAACCTGCTGCGGCCACGAGGTCTGCAGCCAAACCCGGACCAGCGCGCAACAAGAGGGACGAAGCGGCGCGGCGCGGCGAGGGGCCTGCATGCGCGCGTGGCTCGAAATCGATGCTTTGCCATAGGCGTGGTGGATCTTCGACCTGATCCAGCCTTCATCTCATCTTCACGCCTCGACTCCTCACTCTACGTCGCTCGTGTGCCCACCTCTTCTCACATCTTTGCCTCAAAACAGCAACACTACACACACACACCATGACGTTAGTATCTCCGATACCGTTTGCGTTCCGATTAGTGCCCATCGGAGGGTTGGAGTAGGCGCTGAGCGGCAGCGGGGGAGCATGGAGATGCTACCAATCCCAGCGCTGTCGAAAGGGGGGGGTCTAGCCATTGTTGTCCGTTGGGGACTCAGAGACGCAGCTGCACAGATGCGATGAAGGAGGAACTGAGCTTGGGAGGACAAGGAACATCCAGTAGCATCAATCCTGACTGTCCTCGACGTAACTGGTATTGGGAACAAGGTAGCTCTGTGGCTTGAACAGAACGGTACGGGAGCTTGGGGCCCTCGAGAATGGGCGAAAGTGTTCAACGATCCTGTGGATCTTGTGGATAGTCGGGGTGGCTGCAACAAGAGCCAATCGAGCCTGAGCTGGGTCTGAAGAATCTTGAAGTGCTGCTGCTCATTCCCCGGCATATGCAGGCAAAGTTCGCAGTCGCCACGTTGCACAAGCTGACAACCCTTCTGCTTCCACCTCCATTAATTTTCGTTACACAGGAAATTGAACTTCGCGTGAGTACCAAAACTACCATGCAACGAGGCTCATGCTTGCTAGTGTCTGATCGCTTTCGCATCTCCTACGTGTAGCAACCCGGCCACGGGCGCTCAAAAGAGCTTCGAGATCGATGACGAGCACAAGACTCGCGTCTTCTACGAGCGAAGGATGGGCCAGGAGGTTGACATTTCTCAGCTCGGGGAGGAATTCAAGGGATACGTTGTCCGCATCGGTGGAGCCAACGACAAGCAGGGATTCCCAGCCAAGCGTGAGTGGACCCTGCAGCAGCCCAAGTCCACAGTTGCCGTGCTGCTTACATACCTGCTCCCGATCTTGCAGAGGGTGTGCTTGCTCCCAACCGTGTCCGCCTCCTTCTCGGAGCCGGCGACAGCTGCTACCGTCAGCGCCGAACCGGAGAGCGCCGTCGCAAGTCCGTCCGCGGTTGCATCATGGGTAGCGACATCCAGGCCTACCATCTCATCATCGTTAAGCAGGGAGAGAAGGAGATCCCCGGTTTGACTGACGCCGAGTCCACTGTGCCCAAGCGTCTCGGTCCCAAGCGTGCTAACCGTGAGTAGGAGCGAATCCATCCAGAGGATGGCGGGCAAGCAGGTGACAGCGTCAGTTATTGCTTTGCTCTGCTGCTGACATCACTGCTCAACGTTTGCGCCCCTTTGCAGACATCCGCAAGTTCTTCAACTTGACGCCCAAGGACGACGTGCGCAAGTTTGTCATCCGTCGCGAGGTCACCCCCAAGAAGGAGGGAGCCAAGCCATACACCAAGGCGCCCAAGATCCAGCGCCTGATCACATCTCAACGTTTGCAGCGCAAGAGACACCTGCGCAGCTTGAAGAAGCGCACCACTGAGCGTCAAAACGCCCAGAAGAAGGAGTACGAGGTTGTGCTGGCAAAGCGTCAGGCTGAGGTCAAGGAGCGCAACGCTGCTGCTCGTGCTCAACGCAAGTCTACCCGTGCTGCCAAGCAAGCCTAAGCAGAACGAAGTGTAGACTTTTCCATGCACGCCAACATACATTGTACTACCGCTCCTCCGGAGACGACTCGGCAGCAGAGATCCTTGCACGTCTCTGCTGCGATGCGTCCTCCTTGTCACTTTTTCCACATAACTCTTCAAAATCAAGTCTCTGTCGAGACGGACGGTCGGCGTATTCGCGCACTGATGGGACGGCCAACGAAGACATGCAACGTTGACACTGTCAAACCTACACCAAGCCTCCTCACACTCTCATGCATGCTATTCAACGAATGCCGTGGCGATTGAGATCAATTGGCGAGTCAGGCTCGCTTTGACAAGCGCTCGCAAGTTTTGAGACACGGCTGCTTTTGCTTCAGCGAGAGAGAGCGCGCGCGAAGGTCTCGAAGGGGAATAGCATCGGTCCGAGGCGAGATGCCTTGCAAATTCTTTATCTAAGATTGACACTGCTGAAGACGGTCACATCTTGAACGTCTCAACCCTTCTCGCGTTCGCCTTTTATTCGAGAGAGCGAGAGCCAGCTGTCGAGGCATGACGATCATGAATCAAGAATTTGAATTGAATGAAGAAATGCGCGATGGGTGATTGTGGAACGAATACGCATCACGTGCGCTTCTCGATCCAGCCTTGCTCTGCTTTGCTTTGCTTGCGTTTTGAGTGCATCGCGGCGCGCAGGCCGGCCGCGTCGTGTGGAGCTAGAGCCTAGAGGGCGCAATCTTAGGATACGCCACGCATGACTCGCTTCGAGGTTTGACGAAAGTCGAGTTACACTCGTTTGACAGTCAGAGTCCTACCAGGCCTATGACTGCCCACGCTCGCCGTCGCAGTCCTGAGTTTCTCAGTCTCGATATCGGATCAAGACACTTGACTCCCACTTGCGACTGAATCTTGGCAGGAAGGCCATCGCAATTGGAGACGAGATGGACTCGGCATCCGACAGCGCCGAACCGGGCCAAATACTGCGAGTCTTGACGCTCAACGTGTGGGGTCTCAAGTACATATCCAAGCTCAGGGTGGAGCGCATCGAAGCGATAGCCAATCGATTGGCCAATGGGATCGGCGGTGATGAGGTGCTGGAGCATGGCGATGAGCAGCTACGTACGCGATCAAGGGCACGGGCGTACGACGTGGTAGCGTTGCAGGAGATCTGGTGCGAGAGCACGGATTGGAAGATGCTCAAGGAGAGGGTCCGACACTTGTATCCTTATTCCAAATTCTTCTTTACGTGAGTCTCTAAGAGGTCGAATTGTCTGCAAAGAGGCGCAGAAGCACTTTGAGGCGCATACACGCAAGCACGATCAGTCTGGCATGGTTGTGAGCAAGAAAGGTGAGACTGACGA